CTACCTATATAATAAATTAATTTTTAATCTCACCTACCTATGTTTCATTAACTTAACTCAAGACTCATGAAGAAAGAGAAAAAGGAGTAAAAAAGAACATAAAATACTACCACACAAACAAACATGATGTATGTATGTATGTATGAGCAACCGCTAAAGAACCCACCTAAAATATAAAAAAATACAACATACAATCACACAAACCACAGGCATGCAAACTCTATATAACTCTATATAATAAAATAAATAAAAATAAAAAAATAAAATAAATGAGATCAGGCAGACTGCTTCATGCGAGGCAGAATGCCTGATCTGATTTTTACGTTTTCTCAGCTCCTATTTATACTCGTTTCAACCATACACTTTCACCATTTCAATCATTCACATCAGTAAAAAACTTATTTAATGTATGTACTACAGTATTATACAGTCTTAACCACAATGCCAACAGTACTAAATTGACGTCATCGAACGAACGCCTTCGAAATTTTCTGATTGGCTGGTTGAATCTGCTATATTGCTTTTTATATAAAACATATAATCTTATTAATTATTTGTATACATGAATTCTAGTTACTTTATATATATATATATATATAAATTCATTATAATTGCAACAGTAATCAATGCTACATATGTACGCCGCAGTTCAAAATTTTCGGGGAGAATTCAAAATAGTTTGAGATCACACCTTGCTTAACATCCGATTCCAAGCCGAGCCGAGCTGAGCCATTATGCATAGATTTATAAGCGCTTTTATAATAAAATTATGCTCGCTTTATATATATAGTATATAAATTCCTTATAAACGCAACAGTCGTAATCAGTGCTACATATGTGCGCAAATTTCTCTGGGAGAATTCCAAATAGTTTAAGACCACACCTTGCTTAACATCCAATTCCAAGCCGAGTCGAGCCAAGCTGAGCCAATATGCATAGAGTTATAAGCGCTTTTATATTAAAATTTTGCTCGCTTTATAAAGACTATATAGTATGTAAATTCATTATAAACGCAACAGTAATCAGTGCTACATAAATATAATACATTTTAATGTAATGTCTTGTGTGCGCACGCAGTTCAAATTTTTCTACAAGAATTCCAAATAGCTTGAGACCACACCTTGCTTAACATCCAATTCCAAGACAGCCGAGCCAAGCCGAGCCAAGTTGAGCTAATATGCCTAGATTTATAAGCGCTTTTATATTAAAATTTTGTTCGCTTTGTATATATAGTATATAAATTCATTATAAACGCAAAAGTAATCAGTGCTACATATGTGCGCACGCAGTTCAAATTTATAATTTATTATAAATTTTATTTGATGTTTTTTAATTAGTCAGGTCACAATCATCATCATCATCGATATCGCAATGAAATCAAATTGAAAATTTTTTAAATTAAAAAAAGTATCTTTATTTATTTTATGATACTATTTTGTTTAATAAGATACTGTTTGATACATATAACTAGAAAAAATATAACGGCACTTTCAACGGTTGAACAAGGAGCTTACTTCTGGAGGGGAGATGGAGGGTGAGGTTCGAGTCAAAAGTTACGATAGAATATTTACTAATTACGGAATATTGCTTCTATTTAAAATGTTAAAATTTTATTTTTTTAAATTGTTATTCAATATGGTAATTAATTACTTTTATTTGGTATAAATTTAAACAAATAAAATCGACATTACCGAAAATAATTAAAAGTTGCAAAAATTGAGATTCTTTGCATATCCCTGCTTCAACCCATAAGAAAGTATTGTTTAATGGTAAATAGGCCTCCCCTTGCATAGTTCCTTATATCAGCATCGCATTCGAAAATATCTAACTGTAGTGCGTGTTCTTGTTCAGTAACACACAGCAGGAACTATTCGGTCAATTCAAAATACTATGTATCGAAAACGTCGAGACTTCCATTACCAAGTTATTCATTATACAAATTCTATAAATACAAAATTTACAAGCTTAATTCGCTATATCAGCGCCACATTCAGAAAATATCGAATTCGGTTTACTATTTCAGTTCAGCAAGATAATTCGGTCCTAGAGAGTCCAAGAGAATCTAGATATCTAAAACGTTGGAACTTTCCGTTACAAAATAATACATTTTCATGCTCAGTAAATTAAGTACAAAAAAAATCTAGTAAAAATCTACCAGCCTTATTTATTATATCAGCCTCACATTTGAAAAAATAATTGAACTATAGCTTATAACGATAACTATATTCGTGTCTAAAAACTAAAAAGAATAAATATTCCCATGGAAATATATAATATTATATAATTATATAATATATATTATATAATATATATAATATAATATTATATATAATTCAATGAATATTCCTCTCTAAAATCTTAGTTTTACTAATATTTAATAACAACATTGTTCACAATGGGGAAGGGTCATGACACCTCCGGCCCCCCCTAGATTCGCCGCTGATAGTGCTTAGTGATAGTGCTGATAGTGCTTACTGTTAAGATAAAAAAAATTAGAAATGGTTAGGCGTGGACTATAGTTCAATTTAAAAACAATGACACTTATGTATAAATTTTTAAGATATATATGGAATTCTAGTTATTAAGCCAACGTATGATTTCAGCAACCAGTTTCTTTGAGCACCAGCAGAATGTAAAATATTCATTGAATATAATGAAGATAGTTGTTCAAATAACCATTTTGATTTATTTAGGCTGTTTATTCCATAAACAAACAAATTTTTAACGTGATCGAATAGTTAAAAAAAATGGTGACTATAGCTCAATCCTAGTAAGCCAACTTAGGCTTCAGTAACCGGACCAATAAGCAATTTTTATATTCAAATTAACATAAATAATTTAATAATACATAATTCTATTAATGTTTTAAGCATATTAAGTTAAGTAAATATTTCATATAGCTTGCTCGTTAAAATCCATGCAATTTCGTAAGCCAACAATCTAATCATGTCAAATAGCCTGACCGATTGATCGAATTATTTTAGTTATGTGGTATGAATCAAATTCGTTATGTAACGCCCCATATGAAATTGTTGAAAAATTATTTTTTGAAATGGCAACAACTTTCCATAAATGTTTCTACAAAATGGAAAACTGTTTCTAATAATAATTATTGTTGTTAACATTTAATCTGAAATCGTCTCAAGTTGTTGATTCATTTTCTCGAGTTTTTTAATTTTTGAGATTTATTAATTTTAAGTTATTTCCGAAGCTTATTAAATTATAAGATTGATTTTTCTCTAATTTTGCTAACGAAAATCGGAAATGAGTTAAATTTAAAATTTCTGCTTTAAAAAAAAATTTATTTGTTTTATTTATTTATTTTTTCTAACATGGAAATAGATCTGTTCTGCCTAATCCTAATTTTTAGTAAGTTTAATTTTTGGCCAGCGAAATCAGTATCGTTTCCCTACTAAATAGGAGGCCCAATTTTAATGGCTCAAAGTTATGCCACAACTTGGCGGCCAGATCAGGATCAATTTACTGGAGGAATGCACCAAGTAAGTTAAGTTGATGAGTCTCTGAAAGAAATTATAACCTTATCAGAATTTGTCTAAAAATATTTAAAACTAAAGTTTAAATTAAAGTTTAAAAATGTATAATGGAATTCTTAGGTTTTGCAAAAACATTATAAGATTTTAGATTATTGATTATTTTAATTCAATTTTATTTCATTTCATAGTTCTCTTCTACCTTGCTTAACTCTGATTGTCATTGTATCAACATTATGAAAACATAATATAGAAAATTTATAGTTAATGTATGTTGTAGTATATATTTATATTAATTAATTATATTTTATGTATGTATATGTATTGTATATGTGTTTATTACAAAACCATATTATATATAGTACAAGTACTACTATTATTTGATGTTTATTACATTGTTAAATACATTCTGCTATAACTACTTCTACTACTGCTAATGCTGTATTTGATAATTTGCTTGGCACCTCTTATGTGTAGTCTCAGTACTGCCATTCCTGCTGCTACTACTGCTGCTACTACTAATACAACTGCCACTGCTGCTAATATTCTCAATACTTCTATCACTTCTACCAAACTTCTAAACTGTTGCTATTTATATGATAATGCTGTTGCTTACTGTTCAATTTACTGTAACTACTTCCATTCAATTATTACTACATGTCCTACTACTAGTACTGCTTCCGTTATTACTATTACTGTTTGTCTTCTGAATGTTTCTACACACTTTGAGGAGTTTTGTAATTGAAGCAAATTTTTTTCATCTCTTATCTAGCGGCCATTTTTAATCCTATTTTCTCTTTAGGAATGTGATGGAATAATTCATCTGTTGACTGAGTGTATGCGTGTGTATGCGTGTGTCTGTGTGTTTGTTTGTGTGTGTGTGCGTGTATGCATGTTTGAATGTATCAGTGCGCTTTTTTTCTGAATTAATTGTATGTTTATGTTTTATTCTGTTTCTAACCCTTACCCTAGAAGTGGCCTCAAAGCATGACACACCCCCACCCCCAACTTCCCACTCAGTCATCAGGCGTAGTCAGATCGACGACCACCACCTCAACGACGACGACGACAACAAAAATGGCCGAAGGTTCTAGGAAATCAGACCGTAGTTATTCAGACAGCTCAAATAGTTTTATTCAACAGGTTGGTTAGAGTTAGTTAGTTAGTTAGTTAGTTAGTGGATGGCTGGATGGATGAATGAATGTATAGATGGATGAGTATGATAGATTGGTTGACGGATGGGTGAATTATGATCATCTACATCATGGTTAAACTTTTAAAAATCCTATTTGAAACTAAACAGCAAGGCTCGTTTGAGTCAAACTGCAGTCAGAATTCTTCAAATTTGTCCCTGGAGGAAGAGCAGGAGTCGATCAGGAAGAATGCTGAAAAGCTTGCACAGACAATGCTGGAAAAAGCTCGAGTTGGTCTACAATTTTTCACAAATTATTTTATTTGTTATATTTATATAATAATAATAATTATTATTATCAATATATATCATCATTGTCATCGTCGTCATCATCAACATCATCATTGTTGTCTAGTTAAGAATTTATTGATCAGTTGGATAGATAGACAGACAGATAGACATGCAGATAGATAGACTAGACAGATTATAACGTGCATAAAAGTGAAAGAAAATATGTGTGTATGAATGAATGAGTGAATGAGTAAACTTAAGATATAATGATTGGTCGGATGTTTGATTGGCAGAATTAATGAATAGGTGACAGAATGATTGCTCAATTGTTCTCTGCAAACAAGTGATGGACAGTTGAGTAACTGAATGAAAGAGTGCATAGACGAATGAATGAATGAATGAATAAATGAATGAATGAATGAATAAATGAATGAATGAATGAATGAGCGTTGGTTAATCTTGTTATGTTATTCAAAGCCATCGTCATCATCATCGTCATCATCATCGACATCATCATCGTCATCATCATCGTCATCAATACAATCATAATGACATCTGCTCTTCTTCTTTACCATTACTCACTAGTTTCTCTCACTTCATCATCTTCATCATTGTTTTTATCTTCATGTGCGCCAGTGTGCGTGCGTGTGTGTGTGTGTGCGTGCGTGCGTGTGTGTGTATGTGTGTCTGTTTGCAGTCTCTCTGTATGTGTATTTTTCGCTTGCACACATGCCAACTTATTGGTAACAGGTGATATATAATGGCTGTTACCATCCTATTTTTTATCATATCATATCATATCATGTCACATCACATCATATCATATCATATTGTGACATATCATATGACTATATCCATATCAGAATACTGTTATAATGATGATGATGATGATGATATAATAATGATGATGATGATTATTATTAAAATATTATTAATATTAATAACACAATATTTATAGCAATAGTTTTTAAACATCATTTTCATTGTTCAAATAAATAAATTTTTTGAAAAATTTTTGTTTTTAAATTTTCTAACCTGGCCTTTTTTTCAACAAAGTTTATCTCTTTTATCTACTTTTCTCTTTCTCTCTCTCTCTCTCTCTCTCTCTCTCTCTCTCTCTCTCTCTCTCTCTTTCTCTCTCTCTCTTCCTTTTTTTCTTTCACTCTCTAACTCTGGCTTGAAGCATAATAGGGGTAAGTGGTTTCAACTTGAATAGGATTATAATGCACCCACTATATCTTCTTTCTTCATTTCTCTTTCTCTCTCTCTCTCTCTCTCTCTCTCTCTCTCTCTCTCTCTCTCTCACACACACTCACATTTTATTGCCATCAAATCTCGTATGTATTTGTAGACAAAGCCAGTTGCCTTTGCTGTGAAGACGAACGTAAGTTACAATGGTAGCCACGACGACGATCCCCCACTACCCAATTCAGTTGTCTCCTTTGTTGCTAAAGACTTCCTACACATCAAAGACGTTAGTTAAGTTGACCAGCAGCAGTGATTGGCGTGACTATTTGTTTCAATTATATCACTTTGTATTCTATTATTTTGAGTTTTTCTTCTATAAATAATTTTGTCATTTTGAAATTCTTTGTAGAAATTTAACAACAACTGGTGGGTCGGTCGATTAGTGAAAGAGGGATGTGACTTGGGCTTCATCCCAAGCCCGGCTCGACTTGAAATGCTTAGGCAGTTGTCACAACAGCAGCATTCTAAATCTAACAAGGCGTCTGCTAAGTGAGTTTTGAAAAATTTGATTGGTTGATAGATGGATGGATTATTTGATTGGCTGATTGATTGACGACATATTTGTTCCAACCTTACAGATCTGGCTCATCCTCTAACATAGACAACATTTTATATTCAAGGTCATCAAACAGCTGTGGTTCCACACCACCAACGCCTGGTTTGTCATAGCTTGAATTAATCAAAATTTCACGGGATATTTATTATTTGTTTGTTTTATTTAGGTACTGTTATGAATACATATGTATTTTTTAAATTTCTAGGAGGCAATGATGGTAATGAGGATGCGGAGAGTGCAGGCAACAACGTCAAACCTGGTGTCACTTTTGGAATTTCGGGAAAGGAAAGGAAAAAACCATTCTTCAAGAAGGTTTAGCTTACAATTTCAATTAGAATGAAAACCCTACTCAACTCGAACAACTACACAGACAAGCATAAGTTTACAAAGCATGAACCTTACAAAGCGTACAAAATGTTGAACTTTGTTAGCTGGAAAGCGTGCCTCCCTATGAAGTGGTGCCTTCGATGCGGCCGGTTGTTCTGATTGGTCCGTCGTTGAAAGGTTACGAGGTCACCGACATGATGCAGAAGGCCTTGTTCGATTTCCTCAAGAGGAAATTTGAAGGAAGGTGTGTGGGTTTTTTTTTTTTTTTAAATTATTTTTTTATTTTTTTTTCTCATTTGAATTCGATTTTCAACTGCTGACACTTGCACAGGATAACGATAACTCGAGTGACAGCTGACATTTCCTTAGCCAAACGAACATTGCTCAACAACCCCACCAAACGAGCCATCATGGAAAGATCAAACAGTCGGTCTTCATGCATCGGTTAGTCAGTGTATACGCGTGTGTGTGTGCGTGTGGGCGTGTGTGACTAGTTTGTTACTGTATAGTTATGATCTGGTGATGGGGATGAGAAATTGTTGGATTATTAGGATTGAAAGTTATTCAATAGTTATTGCTTTTTTCTTCCTTCTGTTAATTGTCATTCTCTGCTCACCTGCTCAGTTGAAGTTCAGGCAGAAATTGAAAGAATATTCGAGTTGGCTCGCTGTCTGCATCTTGTAGTGCTAGACTGCGACACCATCAACCACCCGTCACAACTCTCCAAGACATCACTAGCCCCCATTCTTGTCTATTTAAAGATTGCCTCTCCGAAGGTTTGCTTTTAATTCAGCCCAACTTTTTAGTTTTGTGAACATTCCCTTGTTGGAACCTCTCTGTATTAATTCGAAATTAGTGATAAGTAGCTGCACCTGATGAACTTTTTTGAATATTGTTTTAAACAGTTAGTGCCACTTCAGACTTAACTGCAGCAGTTGAATTGTTGCTTATTAATTCAAATATCTTTTTGTTAGGTTCTGCAAAAACTAATAAAAAGTCGCGGCAAGTCCCAAAGTCGGAACATGAATGTTCAGCTGGTGGCCGCCGACAAACTCAACCAATGCAATCCCGTTAGTAATGTTGAGAATATAATTTCTCTACACCAGATATTAACATTTGAGTTTTCAGTTCACAATTCCCAAACATGCATGCCTATGAGTTTTTTTTCTTCCTAATTCTTCCAACAGGAAGTTTTTGATGTAATCCTTGATGAGAACCAATTAGATGAGGCCTGCGAACATCTGGCTGAATATCTCGAAGCTTACTGGCGGGCTACTCACCCTTACCCCACAACAACTGCAACAACGACAACGACTGCCAACACTTCGCAGAACACTACAACTACTTCAACAACAACATCACCGACGACGTTGACGACTACTGCTACTAGTCTACCGCGATCTTCATCACAGCTATCACAAATACAGCCACAGCAGCAACAACAAACGCAACAACAACCACAACAACAACATCAACAGCAACAGTCTATTATTTCTTCTCCTATGCTCAATCCTGATCAACAACAACAGCAGCAGCAGTTTCAAAATTTTCGGCAACAGCAGCCCTCTAGTCAGCTGCAACAGCGACATTTTCAACAACAACGACAACAGATAGAACCACAGAACAAGCAACAGCAGCAACAATACTATCAGCAGCAGCAGCAACAACATCAACCACAGCAGCAACAATATCAGCAACAACAATTTCCACAGCAGTCTCTTCGATCACCACCTCTTCGTTCATCGGCATCATCATCAGTCGACCGACAGCAGAATCCATCTTCGACGACGACGATGACGACGGCAACGGTACATCAGCGACCGCGGCAGCCACAGCTACCACAGCATCGCCAACAACAACATTTCAAGCAACACACAACGGAGGACGAGAGCATAGAGATGCAACAGATAACGACTAGAGATCGATCACAAGACCCTGTTGAACGGCACATCCCTAACGTCCTAATCGGGGGTCCATCGTCGACCTCTAGGGGCATGCATTCTCAGTCACCGAAGCAAATTTCAACCGGACCCAGACGGGCGGCCATTGAAGAGTACTACGACGATGAAGATGACGACGACGAAGATGACGACGAAGAAGAAGAAGAGGAGGATGACGATGAGAAATTTGACAGTGGTAAAAAGAATAGAAGAAGGAAAGGAAGCATAGCCATATAATGCATACCCTATATGAATAAACACATGTGTATGTATCTATATATGTATGTATCTATACATGTATCTATATTCCCGCACACAAGGGCGCACATCCGCAACGTGCATATCTTTCTCTCTATCTATCTTCTGTCATTAATTAATTAATTAAATAATTACTTAATTCTCACTAAACAAATATGAGCTATATGATATTTAAACATAATTTTAAAATATTTTTATGAATATTTATATATATATACTATATATATATATATTTATATATATATATATATATATATATATATATACTTGAATGTATATATATATATATATATATATATTGCTAGTCTGTACAATTGAAAGTAAATTTTTTTAGATTTCATAAAATATGTTTTTTTTTTTAAATTTTATTTGTCTGTCTCATTGTGTATCTATCTGTTCTCTCATTTGTCAATCTTTCTCTCACTCTCGTTCTTTCTTCTCTCTCTTTCCCTCCCTCCTCCCCTCTCTCTCTCTCTCTTTCTCTCTCTCTCTCTCTCTTTTTTTCTCCTTTAGTTGTTAATTTGTCAACTTGAATCGTTTCGAAAGCACACATATACCTATCTGGCTTGCCTCAACCCATTACTGCTACCAACACTATACATTACTCTTTCTTCTCATCGGCACCACTAATTGTTATTATAATTATTGATGGCATAATTTTTCATTCATTCGTTCGTTCATTCATTCATTTGTTCGTTCCTTCGTTCATTTGTTTGCTGTCTATCTGTTTCATATATACTTGAGTTTATTTGATACATACGTGTTAACAATGATACAAGCTATATTTATATACATATTCATGTATATACATATTCATGTATATATATATATATATATATATATATATATATATATATATATATATGTGTATATATATATATATTTATTTATTAGATGTGAGTTTTAATTAATACATGAAGGCTTCACACTTGTTGAAAAAATAATTTGTTTCCTTATTATTTCTTGCAATTAGAACTTGCTGGTATGTTTGCATGTGTGTATGTTTGTAGATATGTATGTGTTGTATGCGCGTGTGTATTTGTAGAGATGTATATTCTTGTATGCGTTTCATTCATTCATTTGTTTGTTCATTCATTCCATTTGTAATTTGGGTTTTCGTTTGTGGGTTTTCGTTTTATATCATTTTCATAGAACGTTTTTTCGAGTCCTTCCTCCACTGCATCCGTTGTTTAATTCCACCTTCATTATCATTTTATTACAATAAATAAATAAACAAACAAACGAATGAATGAATAACTATATATTAATATAGCTTATTTAGAGATTTATTTCATATATATTACAATTAAAGTTGGACCATATCACCATTACTATGGAAAGCTTTTACTGATACTATAACACTACCTCCTGTATTACTGCTCGCACAATTACTACCACTTTTACTGCTACTACCGCTACTACTTCTACTACTACTACTGCATCAGTTACGATAATAATCTCTTCATGCACCTAGTCCTAGCCGTTCTTATTTTAATGGTTTTTTTTAAATTCTACACTTTTTTTTTTAATTGCCTGTTTTGTTTTTT